ACTAAAAGCATCGGCTTGCGCGTTTTACCGTAGCCTACGGCACATGTTGCTGACTCATTCTCGCAAAAATTGTGAGTTACGCGGTATTGTTTGGCTTCAGAGTTCACGAAGACGAATGTGTGTATTGCACTTAAAGGGATGAGTACAGCCATTTCAATACACCTCTGTAATGTAACAATATGTAAATGTTACAGCGTTTTCCCGAAAATTTTCGCTGAAGAGGATCCTAGCTTTGCCTGCATTTTTAAAGCGATTAGCGAATGAATTCATTTTATCGCGAGTTTGTTTCTTCTCGCGGAGTGCCGGTTATTCTTAAATTCTCCAAGCTTGGACACTACATTCTCAGGACACCGTTTCCGTGGTTTTGAGATCGATGTCTCGACGAATTCCTTAATTTTTCAAAAAAATTTCATACTCTCCCAGGGACTCCTAGAAGTCCCCAATTCCTCTACACCCTGAACACCAAATCTGAAGGCACCGCACATTGCCCCCGCGCGAGCTACTTCGACGGCCCAAGTGGGACACCACATATCTCCCTTTGGGATGTTGTATTTTCCCGGTCAAAATTTATTTTTTTCTTCAGTAAACTAGTCACCGTGATTCCTTCGAACTTCCTTCATTTTCATTCTCTGTTGGCAGAATGTCACTGAAAAACAAGTCTCTCGGATTCAGAGTCCAGACTCTAAACAAAAATGGCAAGAAAAAATAATCCTGATTCAATTGGATTGTTGGTTGAATCAAAAGGAATGCCGCTTAAATTAAGAGGCTTGCCTCTCGATTCAAGCGAAAATTCGATTGTATCAAGAATATTGTTCCTTGTCAATTTTTTTAAGAGTTTAGACTGTAAATCCTAGACAGTTTTTTCCAGTGCGCTGCATAAACAAGCTATAGAGTAAGCTTGTTTCTCTCCAAAAGATCAAAACAGGGGCAAACATTTTAAAACATCGCGATGGTTCCGCACCTCGGCCATCGACTTGGCAAGCGAGCCGATACAACCGCGACGAGGATGATATTTCTCCCGGGCCCGATTCCGATGGCCGGGATCGAAAACAAATTTGTCATCAGGTAAGTCACGTTTCCGGGACGGGGTAAACTACTGCCTGGGGGGGGGGGGCTCCAAATTCACACGTAATGACTGTTGTCTGCGGACGGGCGGGCGGTTTACGCACGAGCGAGCGGTGTCCTCCGTCGGCGCGGCGCGTCGCGTCGCTGGCCGCCAGGTGTGAGCGGGCCGTCACGTCTTCGGGAGTTCGGGACGCCACCGGTGGACGCGCGAGTCGACTCCGTTTCCGGACGGAGTGTGCGCTATGATCCTCCGGCTCACCGCTTGTAGTCCAGCCTCAGCTGCCGTTTTACGGAGGAGCAGCAAGTCCACACGTACACTCGAAAAACAAGTATGGGAAAAGTGACTTACCGGCCGAGTTATAGATCATGGAGCCATAAAATCGTCACCTTCCAGGCAAAGTATCACAAGCGCCATGCGACGTTTAAAAATTTCCGCCGCCATTTTATTTTTTCACAGAGAAATTGTTCAACGAAGCTGTCCGAAAATTTCACTGAATTTTCTTTGTGCTGCCGATAAAATTTAGTGAAATTTCCAAACAGATTCAACCAACAATTTCTCAGTAAAGAAATAAAATGGCGGCGGAAATTTTTAAACGTCACATGGCGCTTGTGATACTTTGCCTAGAAGGTGACGAAATATAGTTCGTGGAGCCATGCTTATGGGTTCACGACCAATACAGTATGGCTCAGAAAGCCAGACTGTAGACGGTAAGTCACTTTGGTTAGAAATTATGGATCTCCGAGCAATTTTTTATGGGTCTCAAAGTCAAACCTTTTTTTGAGTGTACACATTTTCAGACCGAGTCCGAGGGGAAAATTTCGGATTATTAACACGGAAAACTCCATACGAGAAATAGTGAGTTGAATTTGCTATCAAGAGCAATTCTTTCACTGAAGAAAACTTTGGAGGGGGGGGGAGTAGAAGCCGTGGTACTTCCGTCCGTTGCGGGCTGAGAGGCCGTAAGTTACGGGTGGAGCAGACGTTGCTCCAGACACCGCACTTGGAGGAGTTGAAGCTACGGCTCCAGCACCCCTAACTCCGAGCCTTTGAGCCCGCAATAGGCCGATAGTGCTACGAACAGCCCCTAACTACGGCTTTCACGCCCGCGATTTTCAGTGTTCTGAATCAAGAATGGTTTGGAAATATGGTTGGAAACATAATTACGGCTCGATACGTCGTACATCGCAAGGTTAGGGGTGCAGAAACTCCCCAACCACGAGACCGGCCGTTCGCGTGAAATGGGGGAACCCATGCGAGGACGAGAAAAATTAGGAAACCCATGGGAGGACGAAAAAATTGAGGGAACCTTGGGAGGTTTTTTTTTTCGGAAGGGTTTAGGGGGAACTTGACTGTAGATACCGCTACTTTGAGGAAACCGAACTGTCAGGCGCGCTGGTTTTGGGGGAACAAAACATTCAAGCGCTGTTTTTGGGGGAACCAAACTGTTGACCGCGCTGTTTTGAGGGAACCCAATTGTCGACCGCGTTACTTTATGTGTCAGGCAAAATTCTGCGAAAACTTAAAATGGGGGAACTTAGATTAATTTTGGGGGACCCCTTGGAAGTTTCTGCACCCCTGCCAAGAATGATACGGCCAATAAATCAGTACATTGGATGCGACGGAAAGCCCCTACGGTGACGTCCCAACTATTATAAAAGCGCTAATCCTTGCCGCGGGGGAAAAGTTTGAAATCCGCGAGTTTTGCGGGCGATCTGGGGCCGCGGGAAGACGTCGGAAAATTAGGGGCGATTCGACGGATCGACGGTGGCTCAGGAGTAATTATTTCACCTCGCCTTTCGTTTTATTATTGCCGCCGCCCCGCCGGACGGGAGGGGGCCGACATAAAAAGTTATTTTCATGACAAATTCTCGTGTCATAACTCAAGGGAGGTCTTTTTACTGCCTTCAATTTCGCTTAATTTTACGACGACAAATTCGCGAGCTTCGGGGCTGATTATCGTGGCGACGCGACGGCGGCCGAGGTGGCGGCGGCGGCCGGCGCGGCGACCCACTTCTCCTAACGATGACTCTGAGAAACAACGTCGTATGGACCATCAGGCGTTGTCAAATTCCCTTCAAAAAATCACGAATTTTCCAAAGAATCTGTAATTATTTCCCCTATGATCTTTCAGGGGATATTCTCGTTCGTGATTCGATCTAGAAAGTCTGATAATTTCGAGGGAAAATATTCATAACTATCTTCAAAAATACAGATTTTCTGTGAGGAGATTTGGCAACATTCGAATGCTCATGCGGCGTTTTTACTTAGCGCGGCAGGAGTGCCTCCGACTAATAAACCGCCGGAAATTGCCTTGAATTTTCCTTCCGCCACGCCGGAAGTTCCTCGAATAAAAATCTGCCGACCTCTTCACCGCGATAAGGAAACAAGGGACTCTTTAGAACTTTAAAACCGATGATGAACGCGTTACAGGTTCATTGTCTATTCTCATGCGAGAGGAGCAACGCTATTTCACGAGAAATGCTCTTTCTTCGTGATTTCAAGTCGCAGAAGAATTCGTCATTTCCCGCACGTAGGAGCGTAACTTCATTCCAAGGTTGCCAAATTGACTCAAAGAATTCAATTTTTCTAAAAAAAAAATGTACATGTGCAAATTTTTTTCCAAAATTCTGCTGGTTTTTGCACGGGATCAGAGGTAAAATCAGTGAATATTTTAGGTAGAAATGCCTCAGGTTCTCAGGGTGAAAACGCAATTCACGCGGGGAAGTTCGGCAACATTGAAATGAAATGCAGTTCCGTTCTTCCGCGAGGAAGACGACGGAGTGGATAGTATTTCTCTAAAACAAAACAAAGACTATTTCTGCTTTTCCCTGACTCCAAAATTTTTGAATTCCCTGACTCCTCTGACATTCGAATAAAACTTTCACTTTTATTTTTCCCCCTTTAAATTATAGTCACTTCTGCTGAATGCACCTCACAACAGTCTATGACCTTTCCCGGTCGCCGCAAATATCTCCTGAATTTTCCTGACCTTCACAGTTTTCCAGACAGCCGACAATTTAGACTACGAAATTGTCTGACTTCTGGCGCCTTTCTGATGAAAAAATTTCTGGCGCACTTTATCGAAGTCAGGCCCTGGAAAGATTTTAACACCGAGTAATGTTAATGGTGACAGCTTTGCGTGATGAATATTTAACCTAGAAAGTGATCGGAAAAAAATACCACTGTACCTCATCCTGGACAAGCAGGCAGGGTGGGTGAGAGAGGCAAAAAATGAACTTCACACAGTCAATGATTGATGGCTCACAATACGCCTGAAAATGTACCGATTCCGACCCCTTTCTACGGGCTGATTATTGAAATTGATAGACAAGGCGATAGAAAAGGAAGACATAGGAAGTATGGAGCGATCCTATTTGTTGAAATGGGTGGATCCTATAGACTAAGGGCGAAAATGATGGACTAACTATAGGGTCTCTCGTGGGTTGCCTCTAGTTAGTCTATTACCTACCTTCATTTTCCATTGTAAACTATCGCTTTCATTAATAGGATCTTTGTCTATAGTTTTGTCTATCAATTTCAATAAACGACCCGCTAATGAAAAATACTCCTGATGAGAAAATTTCTGGTTTAATTTACCGAAGTCAGGGCCTGGAAATATTGTAACACCGATTAATGCAAACGAGGCCATCTTTGCGTGGTAATTTTTCACCTAAAAAATGAACGGATTTACGGATAGGTGGGAGGGAGGCAAAAAATGTATTTCACATGGTCGATAATGGATGTCTCTCGATAAATCACTGGAAGAGCCAAACTAAGTGTATATTTAAGCGTTTTTGCTGCGAAAAGTTTATGTTTAACGTTCACCAGACAACTGGTGCGGGACGATTGTAGCTATCACTCAAAATTATTTCTCATAGCATCTCTCGTCTGTCACTGAAACGCGAGAGTACTTTCAGTGGTGACGATTCCACCGTGCTGTATAGACGGTTAGTCCATAAAAACGTTGTACTAGTGCGTCACCGAGAAGGACGGGCCCATTACGGCTTAGGCGCCGATTTGAGAATTTGCATGCGAGAGTTCAATAGTTTGTGTAGTGCTTTCGCCGAGGAGGACCCACGGAGACATCTTCACGCGTTGAGAATAAAATGGGGATTGGTATTTTCCTCAGATCGCTGATTCTCCTCTTCATATTGATTTTTGATCACCCGATAACAGTGAGTAAAACAGAGGATAACTGTATAATTTTTACCGGTTTAAATCTTAATTGCATAGTGTTGCATGAAAGCAATAACCGTTTTTTTGGCTTCAGTCCTCTGTGGCATTAAATTGCATTAAAACTACAAATGGTTTTTGAGGAGAATAAAAATCTGGTCTCCAAACTTTCCACACAAAAAATAATAAATATAAAAAAATTAAAAAATAAAAAAATAAATAAAATAAAATGGAATGCAATGTGTTCCAATAATTTTAAAAACACTGTGCAATGCAAATTTTCTTTTTCCGAAATTGGTGACTGATTTGTAGAATGAAGTGTTTGCAGAAACTGATTTTTGCATTTATAATCAAAATCATTCCTGAAAGCTCTCTGACCCCTCGGAATTTCATTTTTTGCCACAGTTTGCGCTTCAGTTCTTTTCGGGAGATTTGAATGATATTTTTCCGGCGGGTGATGGTGACTAGATGATCCCACTTTATTCAGGTTTTGCAAATATGATTTGAGTCTTTTTATATAACGTGATAAAGTTGTGAATCATAGCATTTCAACTAAATGCAAATGTTCTTTTTTTGGTCACAGTTCGCTATAAATATCTACTTTGGCAATTTTCACGATAGGAGTCTCTAGACGAGCCCGTTCTATTCAAATTAACCCCAAAAGGTCCTCATGCGGTCCTCAGAAGAGGAAAATCTCTCCATAGGGACTGGGCCGCGTAGCGGCCAAGGTGCGCACCATGTGGTATGAATTAAAAACTTCGAGATGATGCTGTGATTTTTGCAAAAATTACAAAATTTTCATTGGAGTAAAAAAAAATTGAACAGTAATGAGAATCAGTGTAAGACTAAGGAGGAGGGTGTTCCTGTTCAGCTGAGGCACACACACTGGAATACTAAACTGGGGTTGTGGGGCGAAAAATCCTTATCAATTAGGGAATTTTTAGCACTAATCAGTAGAACTCATTCATTAATGAGTTCAGCTCAGCATCCCGTAAAAGCCCCGACGGCATGGAGACGCCGTCATGAATATTTTTAAAATGAGGAATTAATGATCAGGAGACATTACGGGTATACTGAAAATAAAAGTGAAAAATAAAATTGTAAGCGTAACGTATTTATGAAGTTCGACCCGCATTCATATTCAGTATTTCCCGTTCAAAAACGATCCCGTGTTAATACAAATTGTGATGAATTCAATTTCTTTGAAATTGTTCGCGATTCATGGATATGTCTTAGAAAGGCAATTATAATACTTTCATACAACGAATGTATGGGAACTGTGTCTGCGTGACGCAAGGGAAACATAGTTCTGCATGAAACATATTATATTTACTGATAAGGAGACAACATTATCTCATTTTTTAAAATTGTACACGAATAAAGAAATATAATAAAACAAATTAGATTATTGATTGTATTCGTTTCCCAGAAAATTTAATCGGTAGAACTAGATTTTGATGTAAAACTAGTTATGACTGGATTGCATTTTGCAAAACGGAACGAAGAGCATTCCAACGCAGCTAGGATTGTGCAGCTTTTTTCACCTTGCAAATATAAACTGGCCATCTGAACAAGTTTCATCCTTACTTCCAATAAATTATAAATTAAAGACGAAAATTAGCTTTGTTAATTTTTTGACCGAAGTTAGTAATTTAATTGCAAATAATGTGAGTAATTACACAATCCAAGTAACACTGAAATGCTCTTGGTTCCTTTTTTTTTTAAATGCAATTCAACTGGCATGCCTCATGTTAGTTTAAAAAATATCAAAAATAGTATGATATCTAATATGCGCTCTTCGTAATTATGGAGATCTCAAACACCCAGGAAACTAGAAGCCACTCCATTAATTTTTTTCCAGGAGAAGAAGTAAAAATAACGGGGGAAAAAAATTATTTCCTTTAGTGTCCGTTCTTTTTCCATTGAAGCGTAGGTCTCAGTACTGCAACAGGTACGAACAGCTCTCGTACTGCTGGATTGGTAGAACATGTTTACATTGCCATCCTTCTGCATTGAACCTGACGGACAAAAGCAGTTTGTTTTGCGAAAAATTGAATAACGTGAGTGAAGTCCATCCAAAATTTGGTTCGTATTTGTTCCGAGTTGGGAATTTTTCTTTTTGTAATTATCTTCTTTTCCAGTTGAATGCTGACGATGAGCCCCTTATAGAGAAAATGACAACCATAATGAACCAGGATCAATGCAAGTACAAGCTCCTCTCCTGCAGGGCCGGAGAGAGCAGAATGCTAGCCCCCGCCGAAAAGGATTGCAAAGACGCTTTCAAGGCATTTAAAAAACTCTCGCAGGAAGTAAAGTCTCATGTGAGTTGTGTCATGCCTAATTTCTTTAGCCTCGGTAAAACGATCACTCTCACACTAGTACATTGCATAACCTCGTAAGTCTCCTGCGAGCTGATTCTTGAAATTGATGGACGAAAAAGACATAGGGGTTGAAGTGGGTGGTTCGCCTAAAGACTAAGGGAGGACAAACTATGGGGTCTCTCGTAGGGGGCCATTAGTTAGTCTATCACCTACCTCTTTTGTCTGTTGTAACCACCCGTTTCCACCAACTGGATCCCTCCATATCCTCTTTGTTTTGTATGTCTATAGCTTTGTCTATAAATTTCAACAATCAGCCCGCAGTTGGCCCATTGGCTGCATGAATTTCCGTTGATTGATGCTGTTTCCATATGTATCCTCCGAGGTGATTGTTAAAACTGATAGACAAAGCGATAGACAAAGAGAACATAATGAGCATGGAGGGATCCTATTGGATAGACTGAGGAGGTAAATGATGGAGTAACTAAAAGGACTCTCGTGAGTTGTCGGTATGGTTAGTCTATTAGCTCCTTCCTTTGCCCATTGCAACCAACTGCTTACACCAATAGGATCCGTCCATAACCTTTTTGTCTTCTTGGTCTATTGCTTTGTCTATCAATTTCAAGAATCAGCCCTTAGGGCAAAACGTCTTGTCATTTAGCTTAGTGGTGCTGGAGACCCGGTACGCGTGTGCGCGGTGGCAAATTGACACACCAGCAGCCTGATTGTTGAAATTTTTTGTTTGTCGAGACGACATAGATGACATAGGTTAAAAGGTGGAGCGTGATTGGTCGGCTAAGTCTTATCACTGCTTTGTCGTGCCTTTGTCAGATGGAATGGACGACATATACTGTCGGAAACTTAAGAGGTGCCGTTAGCTTGTCGTGAGTTCAACCCGACATAGGCACGACAAAGCAGCGATAAGACATAGCCAACCAATCACACTCCGCCTTTTAACCTATGTCATCTATGTCGTCCCGACAAACAAAAAATTTCAACAATCAGGCTGCAGTTCAAGTTCTAATTTAAGAGTAGCCAGAGCGCAACGCTGACACAATTGAATAACTTAGAGACAAGCTTCAATGTTCTATATTATGCTGCAAATAGAGAGATTAATTTTTTTTTGCGATTTTTGACTGAATGGGAAGTAAAAATGCGAAAAATTAAAATGGACTCAAGACTAAGGCACTGTAAAAATGGCGAAATCGTTGGCTCTCGATGGATTAATATGTTAATTTTGTGCATAGAAATTTGCAAAATAATTGAATTTAAATTTACTGCATTTCCACTTTGCATCACTTTTAGGCTTAAAATAAATTGAGCTGGAAAGGTTGTCCCAGGGATGTGAGTGAGAGCGCAGTTTGACAAGAGCTTCGGACCAGCGGCAGTTGTTTCCTCCACTTGAGATACCAAATTTTACAAGATACGTTAGAGTACTGGTCCATTCAAAATTTATCAGTAGACCTGAATGAAAATAAATTATCTCTCGCGTAGCTATGTGGAGAGGAAACATCACGGAGAAGCAAGATGCTCTCGTGATTATATTTCTTATTTTAAAATTAAAACTCCCTTGAGTTATCAGTTCGCCAAATACTCCGAATTGTCGCGTAAAAACTTGTTCCGAACACTTCAAATTTATTCTGTTTCAGTTGCAAAAAAACCCTCATACGAGAATGCGCGCGTCTTTTGTTGGAAGTTCATAACACTGAACTCATAATTATACTTCCGAGTTTTCCCAGTAGTGACGCAGTGGTAGTGAACATGCCCTCCCAGTTGTCAATGTTGTCAAAATATCTTCTTCAAAATACCTTTCAAAAGAGAGCTCTATCAAATTAAATAAAAAAAAGTTAGAATAATTACAAGAAAATACCGACGAAATGTTTAAAAAATATTTCTAGAAAATGAAAACCCAGATGAGATTGTTAAAATACTTAAACACTGTTCTAACTTGATTCGAAGAATATAATAAGTAAATAATAATTTTTGAAAAATCTGAAATTAAATAAGATGAGGAGAATACTCTTTAGAATTCGACAAACATTAAATTATACAATATTTTTTAATTTTGCAAGATTAGTGCGGATATTTAAAAAAGTGAATTGAATCAAATTAAATCATCCAAAAACGGAGTAATATAAAATAATTAGGGGATAACAGCGTTGGAGGACCTCGATGTTAGATTTAGGAAAGTTTATAAAAGAGGAACTTATTATTGGAGGAACACATTATTTATAAAAATAATCTGTTAGACCAGTTGTCTCTTGCACGATCTGGGTTCAGACCGGTGGAGGCCATTTTGTTTTTACATGTTAAAGGATAGGGATCTACGTCACAAAAGCGATACAGAGGGGAGGGAAGTTTTTAGTGACAAAATCGTGATACAAGTTTTGACCACATAAATCTGCAAAAACACGGACAATGATTGTCTGCCACATAATTATTGACATGCGCCACACCGTGGGTGGCATGCAGACAACATATTCCGTGTCAGTGCATGTAAGGCTATCGACTTTAAAGGAAAAAAACCGGCGCTCCGCTTCGCTCCGCGCCGGTTTTTTGGGGGGGCTTCGCCCCCCCAAGCTCCCCCAGGACGCGCGCTTCGCGCGCGCTTTTTAGTTTGAGTGTCCATTCCAGTTGTTCTGTCTTCTTAAGCGACCCGCGCGTCCACCGCGGGAAGAGTGTATTTTCCGAAGGGGGGGGGGATCAATCTGTAAGGGAATGAATTAATTTCTTGAGCACAAGATAGTAGTTGCGTACGTTGCCAGCGAACGCGCTGCGAAAGGTTGTGACGGTTAAATGGTGAGATTTTGTTCAAGAACAGATCATTTAACCTGACCCACTGTGCGACGAACAATTTGTCCAGAATCTTCCTTCCCCTGACCCACTGTGCGACGAAAAGTTTGTCCAAAAACTTCTCTCCCCTGACCCACTGTGCGACGATCAGCTTGTCCAAAAACTTTCTCCCCCGACCCACTGTGCGGCCCTGCTCCGGCCGGCTCCCCTCATGCCGCGCACCCCTCGCCTAAAACTTTCAAAGCTCGCCATTTTTAAACGGCTCGGCCGATTTAGCTCAAATTCAATACCAAACCAGTCCTAGGGGAGAACTACCACCCGTAAAAATTTCAGCTCAAAATATTCATTTTCGCTCGAGTTATCGAGTGGACAAGATTTGACCTCCCCCCATTTTCGAGCCCCACCCCTCAAAATCTATTGCCTCAAATTTCAATTTTTTTTCGCAGAATAGTAGTCCTAATGAGTCTCTACAAAATGCAAAAAAATTGGTCAAAATATCTTTCAACGTAAGAAAGATATAACCACTCAAAAATCGAAAAATCTTCAAAAGGCGGAAATACATACATACATACATACATACATACATACATATATACATACATATATACATACATATATATATACACATGAATTTGAATAGCATATATTTTCGTGATCTACGACCCGTGATCGGTGCTCTTCACAATGTCTCAGGTCTGGGTCCGACATCATGGGAGAATGCAATAGTGTATTTCCTTCGGAAAATACACTAAAACGTATGTCACGAGTTAGTCACAAATTATGGTCTAGCCTTTGGACTGCACATTGCGTGCAATTTTTTTCAATTTCATGTGTTCGAGTCGTGGGACCCACGTCGCGCTAAGAAAAATCAGCGTATGAATATTCGATAGTTTCCAAATATTATCCGATAAAATGTTTATTAATCAGAAGAGCTGTGAGTGTTATCTCATGAAGTTTTCAAATAATTTAGATCCGATTGCGAATACAAGCATCCCAAATCAGGGGCGTCATTTGGGAGAATGGCAGGGGTGACAATCGCCCCCCTCCCTTGCGTTTCAGGGGGAATGGATCAAAAACAAGGAAAATTGATCAAACTTGCGAGGAACTTGATTTTTTTAAAGGTTTTACTCATAGGTTTTAAATTGTAGCGTGAAAGAAGCTAATTATTTCGGAGTACTGGAGGTTGAATTTCGTAGCACGCTATTTTGACGAACCAAAAAGAAGGAGGAAAAAAATTAACCCCCCCCCCCCAAATTTTAGTGAAATGACGCCGAAGTCTGAAAAATTCAAAGAAGAATATCGACAGATTTTCCTGAAAGTTTATAATTTCTCGAGGGAAACTCGGCAACGTCTGGGGGCTCATACGACGTTCTCCCGTACTGCCGTGCTAGGGAAAAACGTCGTATAAACCTTCGGGCGTTGCCAAATTTCATTTGATATAACACGAATTTCCTGATAAACTCATGAATATTTTCCTTCCAATTTTTTAGACAATTTTGTTCGAAATTTCACCTAAAAATTCCGAGGAAAAATATTCATAACTCTCCTCAAAAATGAACATTTGATCGAAGAAAATTTGGCAACTCTCGAATGTTCATACGGCGTTCTTCCTTAGCACGGCAACGGAGCGGTATAAGAGCGTAAAATCTCTAACTCGGTATTTTTCCGCTCTTACAGGTTTGTCCTAAAGCTCGGAGCCCCGATTGTCGTCATGATCCCAGTATCTCTTGGAGCTGCGCTTTCAAATGTGACCTGACTTCGAAGGAAGCACAATATTACTACACGCAAAGACGCACGCACCCGCCGCAATCACATTCAAAACCATTGAAAGATATTTTGTACCAAATACGTGCCTATCAAGGTGAACTCGAGAGGATAGAACGCCGAAATAACGCATTTCCACAGATTTGGGATCTATAAGGTCCTGGGTTTGACTTTAATTGGAATGCTTTCACAAATTTACATGTGATATGCACGATGAAACCTGATCATGACGAAACGTCCTCACGACCATATCACTGAAAAAAACTGTGCTTGTTTCAAGCATGATGATTCTTGCATTTGTCGCCAAGAATTTTTCTTATCTTGATGTACGCTGAATTCTTCTTGATACAAGGAAAAATGCTCGGGCTAAGCAGAAAAGTAGTTTACATTAAGCAGCAAAATTCTTGATTCAAGAAAAAATACTTCTTGGCGGCAAATTTAAGATTCCTTTTTTTTCGGTGATTCGGAAAACTGTTCTTGTCGGAAACGTAAACCCCGTGAATGCAAGTGAGCCTTTTCATGAGGAAAACATGCCATAAATGTGAAACTTTCCAACTGCTAGATTTAATTATGACCAGGTCTAATGGAAATTTACACCTGGTATTTGTTCGGCAAACACATGCAAACTGATGCATTCAAACCTGCTATTAACGAAGATATTCTTCCACCCCTCCTATTGCATTACAACTGACATGCAATTTACATTGTATGACATTTGAGGGAGTCTATTATTTAAGTAATATTGTCTGAATAAATGACTCTTTGAACGTTTTCTTAAATCCTCCCTCGGCAAGCATGCAATGACGATTCTTGGAGTTGGCAAAATTGATTTTCTTCCCTTTAAACGCATGTGAAACAATCGATTCTTGGTGAGGCAGCTTGGCTCACGTCGGTAAAATCTATATTTCCAATGGATTTAAATTGAGGAAAAACAATATTGCCGACTTGTATAATCACCCTTCCATGAATGCCGATTTGACACAAATCCAATTTATTCCGCAGATGAAAACTCGGATTTCAGAGCGTTCTTATAGGACACGGAACTGTAATATATTACGTATACTTACAGAACTAAAAAAAAATGTTACTTTTCAGCAGTCAGTACTGGGTTTTAAAAAAACTCATCATTTCGAAACAGCGACGAGACTCGTGTGTCTTATCTCTCTTTATTAGAGGTAAAACCACAAAAATACGGTGGGTGTCGGAGGGATGTACACCACAAACATGACCTAAAATTTTTCCTCAGATAAGGTAATTTTCCACAATTTTTGAGCATTTTTAACCATCGAAAGAGACCCTCTCGTGAGAAATGTCTGGCCTTAGACCTCATGAACATGGTATGAGGCTGCGTTTCGTACTGCCCTATCTCGTAAAATACCATACATTGAAAAAACAATATGTTTAAAATAAAACATTTTCTTTTTTTCGAAACTTCGACCGTTTTTCTTGACCAAAAGAAAAATATGTCCTGCGGGAAAATACTGTGTCTAGTAATTTTTCATGATAATTATTTGTAGAAAAAAAGTTGATTCGCGAAAGTTTTCGAGAAAAACTTCACTTTTTTAAGCATTATTTTATTTTTCAGTGATTGTAAAAAGAGGGTTTTTATTTTAAAAAAGGGGGAGGCGGAGGAGAGCGAGAAAAAAATAAGAGGCCATCAATTTTTTTTTAATCGAAAGTGTATCTCGTACGAGAATAATCCTCTGCCCCGAAAGCGAAACCTGAAAATGGGTGGTGGTGGTGTTAGCGATGGCAGGCGGTGCGGGGTAGGGGGTTTGCAATGTATTCTTGAATCAACGATACCCCGATTTTCCGTACTTTCACTCTTAGATAGGAACCGGCATCAAAGTAATTCTATGAATAGAATCGCTGCCATTTGCATACGCCTTGGTCTAAAAATACATACGCGACAAAAAAAACTTAAGTTCCTGTCAGCTTGTTAATTTTCGAATACAGTTCCCTACGACAGAGAAAGTGCCAATACGTAGAAAACACAATAATGAGCCGTTGTTTCAACGGCGTTAACTCCTCCGCCAAGATTGTCAGACTGTGCGATAAAAAGTGGATATTTTACATGCGGTTAAATGGGGGAAAAGGCTGGTTTTTCAGCACTTTCCGACATCTCCTCCGCGTAATCCGTGCGCGTCAAAGCGTACGCCATTCGCGCGTCGCTTCAAAAATCCGCTACCGCAGGAAGCAAAAAGGGGGCAGAAACACACTAACAAACGTAACAAGAACTTAGGGAGAGGGGGGAGGGTGANGTGAAGGGGGGGGGGGGGGGGTAGAGAAACAATAAAACACCATTTCAAAAGTTAGCACACGCGAGGGGCCCTAATTAGGGGATTCAGGGCTTATAAATTGCTCCCGAGCTGAAAAAAAAGGCCTCCGCGTTTAATAAAAATAACAGAGACGAGCGAACAAAACTTCGCGGCGTATCAAAAAGTTGCGCGACGCTGCGACGCGACGAGGCCGGGCGATAGGTCGAACGGGGGGGGGCGCAAGGATTCCTTCTGATGTGGCCGCGGGGGTGGCACAAAAAAAGAAGAGGTGACAAAGCGTGCGTTGTTCCGGGAGGGTTGGGTTTGATGTTTCCTCGCCGAGATTTGAATTAATGAGTTAGTTTCAAACTAATATAAATTGAATGCAACTCCAGGTTGCGTGCCGATCCCCCCCCCCCTCCCGGCCCGGGCCCCCGGCGACGGGATCATTTATCGTCATTAACTGCTACTTACAGATGAAAAACAAGGGCCCGACGCAGCCCGCCGCACACTCTTGTTGCGGAACAAAATGCGCCTGCAGTGAGGGCCGGTCGGCAGCCTGCATTGCGCGCTCGCCCTTTGTTCGCGCGGGGAGGTCGAGGCGGAACATGTTGTAAACGAGAAAGGGGTAATGTTAACAACCCCCCCTCCCTCCTCCCTTCGAGCGGGGCCGTACGGCTTTTTTAGTAACCTGCTTTGAGTCCCGAGTCCTGGCCAATCGGAAATTAAATTTCTAAGGAATACGCTACGCATTGAGCGTATGTGCGAGGTTCTTTCAGTCCGAAAAGACGAAAAAAGGGATGAAAAAGCGGGGATAGACGGATTTCCTGGAAAGCGGCGCGGGTTTTAAATTGACGGATGATCAAGGAGAATCATGAAGTGCTGCAAAATTTTGATTTTCTCGTCGGAGCTTTTGTGAGAATGATATTGACTGTGCTGTTACGTAAAGGTGGTATATTCACAACGACTGAAAAAGCTGAAAAAAAATCGGTGACATGGGCGGAGCCCTGATCAGACCTCAAATTTTTCGGCTTAGGCAACCGTTTTTTTGGTCATAAAAACGAATAGCTCATAATTAACATCGCAATTCACTGGATGCGCTGCTCTTATAACCTAACGGATAAAATAAAAAATTAGTGGAAAATCTTGCAGAGTACCTTAATTGCTTTAAGATTTCAACCAAATGAGCTCAAATTTTGAAAGATGATGGCTAAAAGTATAAGTTACAATTTCTTATGTATCGCATTTCTATATCTATCATAGTTTCCGAATTCCAGAATAGAATGGTTTCAGCTTTTTTGGGGTATCCTCTGCATACCAACCACCCGCCTTAACCAATAGGATCCACCATGTCCCTGTCGTTTTTTAATCTATACAGCTTTGTCTATCAATCTAAATAATCAGCCTCCTTGAAGTAAATAGAGACCAGTCTTAAAGTAACGCATAGTATCTCGTACATAAAGGTTCATCAAATTGCAAATCAACCTTTTACAGTTTATAGTTTAACCATTCACGAGGAGGGAATTAACAGACGGGGATTTTAAGGATCGGATTGCCACTGTTTTCAAGAAACGACTGCATATTATTCTGCCGTGCTACGGAAGAACGCCGTATGAGCTCTCAGACGTTGGCCATTTTCCTCCGATAAAAACCGAATTTACTGGAAAAATTGTGAATATTATTTCCCAAAATGTTCAGACGCAATTTTGTACGCAATTTGATCTTAAATATCCGAAAATTGTAAGGAAAAATATGCATGAATGTTGTCAAAAATACATATTTTATCAAGGCAAATTTGGCAACTCTCGAATGTTCATACGGTGTTCTTCCTGAGCACGGCAGTATTTGATCAGCATCGGCAGTGGAGAGATTTTCCGTGAACGAGTTGAAGCTAAATTCTCTGGAGCCGCGATATTGCAACGGGTTTAGTGGAGGGGATTTTCACCCGATGAGCCGGTGCACGGTGTTACGGTGAGCAGCGCAGTCTAGCGGAAAATTTGATGAGTTTCCGGAACGATGCGAGGCATCGCGGCACGCAGCGCGCAGCGTATTTATATGTCTGTGACAATTACTCCATCGTGCAATTACGCCATCGCACCGTACGAGTGCCTTACGGACCCAGCCAGCCAAGAGCCGTTTCCAGAGCACAGCCGCGCCTCCCTCGCGATGAAACGACCTATCGACGAGGGACTGGAAAAGCACGTATCTCTATTCGCGACGTTGTGCACTGCCGTGCTAAGGAAAAACGCCGCATGAGCCTCCAGGCGTTGCCAAATTTCCTTCGATAAAATGCGAATTTCCTGGAAAATTTTTGTATACTTTTCTCCGAATTTTTTACAGAATTTTATTCGCAGTTTAATCTTAGTATCTGAAAATTTAAAGGAAAACTTTTTATTCCATCCTAACACAAGAGCACCACCCAGTGAGGCAATGCACTTTTAGTTTCTCTATTTAAGAGTATCGATACATATGTAAATCCGGAGAGGAAGATTAGTTGGATTTTATGCAGCACGCACTGGTAAAGAAAAACCTCTTGGACCAATGCCGCATTGCATTGACCTAAGAGTGCAGTTTCTTTTCGCCGGATTTAAGAGTCTTGAACTCTTGTTTCAAGCGGATTTTGCATTGATTCAAGTGGATTTTGCATTGAAACAAGAGTCCAGACTCTTAAATCCGGCGACAAGAAACTGCACTCTTGAACCAAGAGGTTTTTTTTACCAGTAGCGTTTTAAATGACAATGTGCGCAAAAACTCCATCTCAGTAACAAGTTCTTTTTATATTTTTACTTTGAATTTTTTGCGTTGTGCAGGGCTTTGGCCTTCGTGCATCGGCACAAACAACCAAGCATGATGAGAACTACTCAACTCCGCCCCTTTGAATAATAGCGCCCAACACAGTGCAGTTAACGGGACATGCATATTAGCGCCTACAAGACCGTGAGAATACTTCACGCATTGCGTCAAACACAGTATGGTCGGCTCTGTCGGCTTGGAACGCATATTGGCGCCTACAAGACCCTGTGAATACTTCACGTATTGCGCCAAACACAATGCGGTCGCGTGAAGCGCATACTAGCACCAACACGGCTGTATGCGTCCTTAACACAGTAGGCAGTAGATGAACGATAATCTGCTTAAGTAAAATCACACCCAACAAGTAAATGACTCGACAAATTGAAGATTGTTATAAGATTCTTGGCTGGTCTAGTTCCTCACCCAGACGGGGGAAGGTTTTTTCAATTCGTCGAATGAAATTTCACTTTCGTGAGGTTATTATGATTCAAGGCTTGGGATGATATAAAATGAATGAATTTTTTTGACAATTGAAAGATCAAAAGCCTAATAATATAGGAATTATTTTTCCAAATCACAAAAAACTTACTCGAACATGCATTCTCTTCTGGGGAGAGCAGTAGACCAAAAACAACAAAAACGGATCTTACCTGCAACAAAAAAGAGAGAAAAACATTTCATTGGAATCCATTAGATGGAATTTTTTTAGATGC